TCAACAATACTCGCATGTTTGTCGTCCGTTCACACGCAACTTACGCACGTTTCTTTCGCCGTGGAAAGCTAATGTCGAATCATGTATATAGCCACTTTAGAGCGTATGGAGCGCAGTAGAAACTTTTAGGCGGAGCTAGGGCTCTATTTTTGAATCATTCGTCTCGCGTCGAGCGCTCGTTTTCTACTATCACTCGCATACAACGTTCGCTAAGCGACGAGTGGTTCATACCATTCGTTGCAGTCGAGCGATTTAGAAATGGCGAATTTGTTAAGTCGAACGAAAATCAGTAGAAAACGAGCGCTCGACGCGAGACGAATGATTCAAAAATAGAGCCCCTGTATTGAGAAAAATGTGACAAAAACACGAAACAAATGTATGTACGTTTACGAAAAAAGTGCGTCTACGTGTATGTAAACAGAAAAGGTGCGGGCAGACACAGCCTTTTAATCATATTAATTTTTATCTGATACTATCTTTTCCATGTAATTAAGACATCTTTTTAATCAAGACGATCTTTGTTTTTAATACCGTTATCTGAAATTTAGTAATGTCAGAATAATGTATATTCGTAATTTTTTTTAAAGTGCTTCTCTTATCAAGATTTGATAATCAATGTTAATGTTACATTATACGTATAATTTTATTTTAATCTATCTGTATCATCACGCCGGGTCTCGTGCGGCCACATAGGTCTCATTCACCTCATTATGTTAATTACTCTTTCCATAGATTCGCGCCGGTTTTTATAGCTCAAGGCATCACTTTCCAACAGTTTAACGATTTGATGGTGAAAGTTAATAAATTATTATTATAAAGAAACGAAAGGAATCTGTAATCAATGCAAGGTGTTAACAAATTATCAACGCATAAATGTTTTTCTCATAGAAAATTTGTTCATGTTGTTTGTCAATGTCAAAAACTTTGAACTCTGAATAATATGTAGTTTTCATTTTGGTTTTGGGTTTAACTTTTCCCAATTATTTCATTTATACTCGGCGCAATAGTTATACTCTGAAGGGCGCACTATCAAGTTTTTAGCCGATGATATTTATAAAAGTGATGTTTTATACCTTGTGATTATTAAAACAAGATTGATTTTATATTTATTTTAATTATACGTTCCGTTATCATTGGAATTGGTATATGAGGTTTTACTGAACTGTTTATTAAAATATTATTTCAGACCTCTCAGATCAAATCTCAGGTGATGCACCTACAAACAAAATATTTACTTTTATTATGTTTGTTATTTTTTATAGTCTATTTTAATGTAATTTTTAATGCATAATTTTTTAATTCTACTATTCACGATTATGTTATATTAAACCAGCACATATTTTTAAAGTAAAAAAATCACTGTAATTTTATTTAAAAACACTCATCACAAAGATAATACTTTTCAAAACAAACAAAACCTCTTTCTGACCACTGATAAGACTCAGTTTCCAATAAAAATAAGAAATATAAAGTCTAACTTAACTAATTACAGTTACATATAATCAATGGAAAACATACATTTTTCCGCTTAAAATTGAATAAAATCTAAATATTGTCGTAAAAAATAAAATTTAAATAAAATATAGCACCTGCATAACATCATTTGAAACATTTCTAAATAAACAATTTTAAATATCACGTCAAACAATATCCATACACACATATAACGTGAAACATTAAGTTTTAATTACACGCGAGGCGCTGCACTGGCATTCAGTGAGATATACACCCGTTTTCACTAAGCTAGAACAAGAAATAGATTAAATAGGAAACGCCTAATCTTAAGATTCGCCTAAGCAAGTCAATTTAATTCCAAAAAAATATTTTATCTATTTCTTATCATAGTCATATTAGTGGTTTCTTATCATCATTGGTGAAATGTATTTTCACCTTAGGCGATTCCTAAGTGTAGTGAAAACGAGCAATAGTGTTTTATACCGTGTGTACGTATATGAACGTATTCAAATAAGACTGCATATCAAACATGAAAGAATCACAGTATTTTATAATATAAAAAATATATAGAGGGACAATTTTAAAATACCAACAACCTAGTCAATATAATAAACAAAAACGATCTTTTTAATAATTCGTTACATTTCTTTCTTTACTTTTCCTTCACATTCTTAATTTGTATTTCTTTTTTCTATAGAATCCAATAATATTTATAGTTGTCAGAGGTCTAAAATAGACCCGGAGGGCATCACTATTTTGCGGATCTGTTAAAATAGCCTTTCCATATACGAGGTTGCTGATGTTTTATACATAACCCTGTATATACATATATAAATAAATTAAGTAAACACAAATGAAGTCCAGTCTTTGGCACTGTCATTAAATTTTATAATACTTGAGATTTTTAGACTTATTGAATTTGTTAGATAACATTTTTATATAAGTGTTTAATTTATTAGATAGACAATTTAAAAAATAAATTGCATTGTATATAGAAACACAGATAAAAAATGTTCATAACGAATTCATGAATATGTTTTATAACAATGAGTGTAATTTTAAATATTACAATATAAAATAACAAATCGTAAAATGTTGGTATGACTGGTTACTACCAAAAGTATAATTTCTGTAACAAATATTTAATTTAATATTCAAAAGATTAAGGCTTAGTATATATTACAGAAATAAGACTTGATGTGCTGTAAATATGGTTTTGCATGACTGTACTACATATTCTTGTTATACACTGTAGTAATAACTTAAAAATAAGTGTCACAATTCAATAAAAAACATAGTTAATAATATTAAAAAGATAAAAAATATGAATAAAATATTCTCATAATAAATTTTCTGCCTTTGTAAACCCATGAAACTTTATAACTTTGTGGTATTATTTGAAGCACCTCAAGTTTTTATATCAATTCAAGGCATTTTTAATTCACCTAACCTTGTGAATTAAAAATGTCTTGAATTTATATAAAAAATTGAGGTGCTTTAAAAGGTTTTTGTAAAATCGATTTAAATCTCGTACGATAGTACCAGATTGTATTTTTTAAAGTTAATATGTTCTATATTATTGATGTTTAGCATAGTCATAGCTTTTATTACTTTTAAAGAACTATGTATTATGAGCTAAAAGTTTGCTATTAAATAATGCAAATTTGATATGAAATGGACAATTATGGCTAGTTAACAATAAATCTTAGCTATTTGTGGCGAATTTACAAGATCTATCGATTTCAGTTTAAAACATTTTCTATTGTTTTGTTGTATAGGTCATTTTGCTATTCTTATTTAATTAATTTTTCAACCGGGTTCATCTTAGATTTACAATATCTTTGAGATTTTAGATTATTTTAATTTATTATTACATTAATTTACGATAAAAACTGAACCTGAACCACATATGTATTTTATATAACTTAATAAACCATTATCTGAATAAATTATTTCAACTTAAATTCACAATGTGCATTACAAAATTTCAAAAAAATAAAGAGGTCAATTATCATCTTATTAAATATTTAAACCAACTTTTTATAGTAAATTAATTAATTATGAATATATTAATTTAGAATTTCTTTGCCTAATAATATAAAAAAAACTGATTGCATTATCATATTTCTCATAGAATATTTCGTAATTTCTTTTTTCTCATATAATAATACATATATAAAATGAACATTTCTGCATGTAAATAAAATTTGAATTTTGTTACAAATATACTTTTGAAATTTACTTTAGTTGGCAACATGTCGAGATACTATAAAAGGTCTTCCTTCAATTGAATTAAAGCTTTAATATTTGATAATTAGTTTCAAAATTGATTGCAGAAAAACCATTTGTGGTAACTTGACGTGTTGCCTTGTGTACTATCACAGAGAGTAATGTTTAGCAGATAAAGAAGGACTGGCAACTAATATTCATAAATCATATTTGCATGTACTTGTCGTTGTCATCTAGTATCTCCATTTCACAATTTTGGCTATGGACGTAGAAGAGTAAGCAGTAGAAGTAGATAAGTTCAAGATTAGAAGAAGGGGAATATGTGTGTTTGAAGAGTCATGCAGGATTAGTAGGTACCATTTTAGCTCCTATTTATTTGTAAATAAACTAGCTCTTTCTAGTCTGAGAAATTACTATGTGAAACTTTGATAAGATATTTGAATTGAGTATTAAATAATACTAGGAATAGGCTCACCTAATATCAAAATTACTAATTTAACTCGACACCAGTTTTACAAGAAGTATTCAAACTGCTAAACATTATATCTTTCATGTTGAGTGAAGTACAACATAAAAAGGTAGCTTTAATACATTCCCCAGAAAACTCTTATTAGCACGATGCAGAAACGCTCATACACAGTATATAGGGTTATTTAATCTGGTGGTAAATAGCTGAATAGCTTGTATTTATCCCTGATGTACGGTCTTACATCGTCCTTCTGAAATTAAATGTTTTTATTTAATATTAATTACAGTCGAAGTTTTTATATGATCGCCACTTGATAGATAAAGAGTGGCATCATACATATTAATATGGATATGACATCATTACTTATGAATCTATTTGATTTTCCTCGATGAAAAAGAATTTTACGACGACTTTTTGGTGAGAAAATATTAAAAAACTACTAAAATAAATCTCACTAGATGGCGATACTATATTTGACACATTTTGTCAATATAAACATTACAACAGTGTTGGGCGTTAATCAATTAATATTTCAATCATTGTCATAATTGACTTAAAATTTAATTGAAATTAACCTGTTAATTGCAGATTGAATTATTAATTGCAAGATCCAATTAAAATATTTTGTAATTAAAACTAACAATTAATTATCAAGAAACGAGTATCGAAATAAAAGACAATTTATGTGTGGGTGTAACCGGGACAGTCCCGAGTTCAATGATGTCACGCGTCCTGATTTCTTAAGCGACGTTCACAAAGGGATGGGTGGACTATCCTTTTTTCTTTCCTTCCTTTTTCTCTGTTCCTTTTTTTCCTACTTTCTTTCTTCTTTTTCTTATTTCTTTTTGTGGTTCTTTCTGTCTTTATGGCTTTTTTTTCTATGATTTGTTCAGTATCGTATAAACCACCCATCCGATTGCCAGTCTTTGCAACGTCATTTAACATGCGCCATCGCAGATCAAATTCGCGAACTACTTCAGCATCGAGCTAATCCACCCAGCATTCCCAACTGGGCTCGCAAGTAGGTCCCAATGAGGGTTGGTGGTACTAAATGATGGTTTAATTAATGGATGAAAGCAATCTTATAATATCCAGTATTCGAATACGCGTAGTTATCCTAAATCGCTCCGCCAAAAAATTTTACCATCCATCCGATTACCGGCCCTTGCGGTCATCTCAAACGCGCTTAAACACTACACCATAGAGCTTTTTACTTATTTATATAGGAGGATATTGACATATATTTTGTCAAATTGAATATATTTTAATGTCATGGTAAGATTGCGCAACTGAATCGCTCCTCGATTTTACTGAACAGAAAATCTAAAGCAGATCGAGCGTTCGACCGACCTCATTCATTTGAAGCGTTATCTCAGAACATGAGTACGTACATGTAATTCAACGTCGAGGAAATTTGTGACACTTGCGATTCGTCATACATTTTATAAGGGCGTGCGATTCATGCAAGTCTTGAAACCAAAGGTTGATGACTTTGCCAGATCATAAGTTTACCCTACGGAAGTTTGCCTTGTGCCACCACTCCATCTTATATCAGTTCTTTTACAATGTTTTAACTTGATTAAAATTTAAAAACAAGAATAATGAACAATTTACAATAGATTAATTTTTAATTGAAACTAAAAATTAAGAACTAATTAATTGTTACTTGAAATGTCATAGTTAATCAATTATTAATTGTTACAGCAAAATAATAAATAGTTAATTTTTATTTTGCAATTGACAGTTAATCAATAGGGAATATGCATATTTTTGGAAAATGTTTTTATATGATAATTTACATTGATATATAACTGTAAAAAAATATCCGGCACCGAAAAACTAAAATTTTGTAACATTAATAATTGATGAAAATAAGTAATAGCTACGAGCAGTTTAAACCCGGAATATTTGGCGCTCTTGTTGTGACGTCAAAGTACAAATACAACACGACTAGAGATATGACCGATTGATTATATTAGGATTTTGAGTGATTGATTATTATTCAATTACTCAAATCGACTAATAACTAATCGATTTTTTAAAGTATAAAAGACTTTTTTAATAAATCATATACGATAGTTTACCAATTTGATGAAATAAAATTAAGCCCACAACATCATTTAAATTGTAATCTGGTGTTTATATTGCGACATAATATTGATGTTATTGCATCGATGTCAACTTTTTGTACAAACATGTACATTTTCGTCACATCCGCTCTGACAAGTAGCATGGCGATACGATATTTTGAAGTTACCGCATTTTTATACACTTTTTTATAATTATTTTTAAGACGAAAACGAATTTATGTTAAAAAATATTAACATAGACTTTATCCTATAACAATAATGATCGTAATAAAGTATATTTAATTATTTTTTTAATCAGATGCACATTCCTTATTGTCAATTACAATAAAATTTTGCCCAACACTGCCTAACAAGTACCTACTGTAGTTTAAATGGTAGTTTTAATGGCTTTAAGTAGTAGATTAGTAGTTTACTTACAGTAGCTAAATGTTCTAGGAATGGCAGCAACTTGAGTAGCTCATTGTCGCTGCGATCCACAAACCAACTGTCTATGGGTATACCGTTTTCCAATTGGTATCCAAATGCCTAAGAACAAATAAAATGCATTATTATAAATAAAATAATATATTAACTATCTTTGCCCTGCGTAGTTACTGTTGTTTTACAAAGAATCCTGTATTAATAACAGGATACAAAATATATAGGAAACAACAATATCAAATCCAAACTCATCTCTATGTTAAAATATACAGGTAGTCCTCGATTTGATGTCATGTTAGGGACCGGAGAACAGTGAAAAAAAAAAAATTGTAAAACTAAACAGTAGTAGCAGTTAGTTAGGTTCTACTTATAATGACAAAAAAAAAGGTCAATCACGTTTATTCTTTTTCTGCAGAAAGTGACATGTTATTATAATAATACAGACAAGAACACGACATTTACAGTGGGCATTTTAACTTGAAAATATTGTTTTGATAACCATATTTTAATAAAATAAACAAAAATAACATTACCTGTGGGCTGTTATCCACAATGACAGTCTTCCTCAAATCGCGACCAAGTATGGACAAATCTTTGACGTAATTACCGTTCACCAGCAGGCAATGCTCTCGGAATAATCTACGAAAGTATAGTATCAAATTAATATAGTAGAACAGTTGCTTCTGCAGAACAAAGATACATTTTTGGTCACTCATCCAATCGGCGCTTAAAAGAGCTCCTTGATCTAAGAACCCAATGGATTTGCTCAATGGATGCCCGGTTATAAACACCTATATTGGTGATATAAATTATGTTCCCAGAACTATCGAAGTAGAATGAGCAATGATAATAAATACTTTTTCTTTATTTTTCTTTTGTATTTGTAACCTAAATAAATACAACTCTTACCATTTGGCTCAATTTCATCTAGCTATTAATTCATTTAGCGACTAGTCTACGCTTCGACATATATTTGAAGGACGTCGTTTTATTAAGCGGCTATATTAACTAGTAAGGCAACTTGTTAAAATACATGCTTGATTTTTTGGTCATCCAACCCACGACTGACCTTTGCAAAAGTCGTTTAAATTCCGCGTCGAAGATAGAATGCGGTAACATAAGAAACAATTATTATTGAACACAAACGAACCTGTATTTGATCCACCTCCTCGCTGGATCTAATAAATTGAGTAGTCTGTCTGCGTACACTCGTTTGCTGGCAGTGAATAGTATGACTTCGTATAAACGAGACACCCGGGATAAGAACTCGGCAAAGTGAGGCCGAGTGCGGACAAAAACCTGGGTAGGATAATAAGTTTATGTACATACTATATCTATTTTTAAGAACTGATAAGTCTCTTACGCCCATTTTTAGGGCCATGGTGCTAAGTACTTCAAATAAAGACTTATTTTCTAATTATATTCCTAAGTAATAAAAAAACTTGATTAGGAATAAATTAGTATGATACATCGAGTTAAAATTACATATGACGTCACACCTGTGTAGATTTTCTACATAAAAATACAACTTCGATGCCTATTATTTGAGTAATTGAAGTAATTGTTAACTTGATTGCTTCAAGTTAACAATTACTTCAATTACAGAAATATGAATCTAATATTTTTCTGTTATCTAACTGACAAGACTAAATAAGATTTTTTTACACAGGCATTATACCTGTACTGCCACTTTCAGTGACAAGATTTTACTTAGGCAACCATTCTTAAGAAAAATAGTACTAAAGCAGATAGACAAAGTTAACCTGTCATGTCAAATGAACAAAAATTATAATAGCCGATAGCGAAGATTGCTAAGTTAGAGCTATCTTAATATAATCAAACCATAATGCAGTTTTAATACTTACAGTGTAACGACAGTCTTGGAACAATACAGGGAAGTGGAAACTGGCATCTGGTAACTCTTGGAGAGAACAGTGCACCAGGGTTTCATCCAAATCTAGTACCTGTATGGAAAGTAATAAAGAGTTATTAAAATCCAATTCAGTATACAGGGTTATAAGTCGAAATTGCCATGAGTGCAAATTATGTAGATATGAATAAAATTGTATTTGACTTGAACTTTTGCTTGTTTGTATTGGATAAAACTACATAACTGATTTTAAATAGTTTTTCGTCAATATAAAGCTCAATTATCAGCAAATAATAACATAGGCTGTGAATATTGAATACAATCCGGTTTTACATGTATTCGATAAGGATCAATTAACAATACCAAATCTTAGAAATTCAGCAATACTCAAATGCAAAAATTGCAGGCTGCCTGATACGCGACGAGAGTTTCAAAATTACATAGAAATAAAATATCTGAGACATGTATACTAATAAAATTGATTGAATTAATATTATTTTGTATTTTTTTACCAAATGACGTGAATCTAGACACATGAGTGAATTCGAATTCAGGTTTGGATTTTAACAAAATCGCCCTGCTGATTGCAAACTGACCCAGTATTTAAAAAAAGCGAGTTTCAGGTGCTGGGTTAATGATACATACCAAGCTAAAGTCGGGGCTGGTTCTAGTTTTCAATGGTAGAGCGGGATACCGTGCTCTCAATGCACCTGTCGCTACTGTTTCGAGAGGCGGTAACTGTAATAAATAGTAATAATTACTCCTATTATCTTGTAAACTATATTCATATTTAATGTCAGTATCTATACTGTGTACTGAGTATCTATACTAATATTATAAAAGGCAAGGTTGGTATGTTTGTATCAAATACTTCTTTCGTCTTTATATTACTAGTATAGATTTGTGCATGTTTGTATAATAACATTATAATAAGTACCTGCTTGATGAACAAGTAAGGATCAAATGCATCCACCCACGAGGATATCTGTTCACAGTCGACACGGTTGCTACAAGACGATATTACATCACCTGCCTCCTCCTGTAACTAAATCATCATCATTGTCATCACTCTATTAATATCCCCGCTATAGGAACACATTCCTTTTGAATTCGTTTGATAATCAGGCTACTAACATAGTCTCTACATTAGAGATAACCAACGGTATTGTCACAATGACGATTGTAAATGGCTGCAATGACTAATAGGAAGGGCAAAGAAGAGAAAATAAACTTTTTTGATTGTTTTATTGATCCGAATTTCCAAACTGAGTGATTATATTTAAGTATTTGTTGTTTCATATTTGTCATATGTGTTTTTCATGTTTCTTGATTCATTTCATTCTACTTAAATGAAATGATACTTTTTTGTTAGTTAATATGCAGTTAAAAATTTGACTGAATCATTAGTACAGTAATATATTACGTACCTCAATATCTGAAGGCGATTGTTCATCATGACATGTTAGTGAAGCTTCGTCTGCTGCTATATCAGAGGCAGTCTGCAACAAAACAGTAAGTAGAAACAGACAGGAATTTTGAGACCATTTTAAATAAAACAATTTACTTTGATGCCAACTTTGAATGTTTGCAAATAGTAATATTTGTCAAATATTTTGTAAAGTTACATATATACAAAAAAAAACTTAATAATTCAACTGTCTTAACTAATCAGATAGCTTATCCATAATGAAAATACACTTACAAGTTGTGTTATTATCATCAGTGATCAAAATACACTCATTTGAATCAAAGGTAAAGAATAATTAGTATGTAATATTTTTAACTTGCACTATTCATTAATTAAAACTACTTTTTAAGAGTCAAAGTGAACATGTAACCTGTAAATCCAATAAAATAATGTATGAAAAATAAACATAGTTTTTTAAAAACCATTTAAAAGTAGTTTTATTCAATGAGTGTGTAAATGAATTACAGCCAGTTGCACAAACGCCTATTACATTTGTTATTGGTTTAAAGCAACATTAATCATACAAATTTGACATTCATTAGAGCTTAAAGGTGTCATTAAACCTTAATGGACGTTTATGCAACTGACCGTTAGACTTTTCGTAAAAACACTTTGCCACTTTAGAGTTAATAGCTATAAGATATTTTGTATTAATTTTTTCATATTGCACTGAAAAGAGTTATAAAGCCAGCACACTGACATTATATGTATCACTTACCCATCCAGCAGCTTCAGCAGCCAAACTCTGACTAATTTCAGCCAAGAACCCGGAACTAGGACTACGAGCAGAGAGTGCCTCTAAACTCTCTATAGCTGTTCCTTGTGTGTCACATGTAGATGATATTTCGCATTCTGAATCACGAACATAACCCTCTTGTTCTAGCATAGTGACAAAATCCGGCTAGAAAAAGAGAGTAACATTCAAAGTGTCTTAAAAAATTTACAAGAATAATATTGAATTTATTATAGAATTTATGGTGTTGCACTTTATATAAAATTTTGTAATAAAGTTTAAATTTATTTCAACTAAAACTAATGACACTAATAAATGGCATTTTCAAGATAAAATTATCTAGGGTTTTTTGTATGACAGTAAAATGGAATAAATTATAAAGTTATAAAAAAGCTCATTTATGATGTTATTTATGTCTTGTGACATAATTGGTATTGTACATATAACCCTGTATAAAAAACTACTTATTGCATTTAGTTTCTTCTATCTACCCTTTTGATATTTTAACAACTCTTTTAAACTGATAAATACCTGTACATATTTATCCCCGTTGCTTAAAAAGTTGGTACAGGTATCCAGATCGTCTGTAGTTGATGTTGGTTGGTACATCTCCAAATCATTGCTAGATTTTCTCCTTTTGGTGAGACGTTTTTCAACAGAATTCGTTCTCAAAGTTTTCTTTGTTTCATCTCTTTCTGTAGTCATGACCCTTGCTGCTTTGTCAGCTAAGAAGTTGACTTCATCTTCGGTTTCTAAGTTATCATTCATAAGACTAGCACATTCGGCAATAGCAATAAAATCATTCAAGCAATCATTTGGAAGACATAGCTCTGAAGATTCAACATGACCATCAGAATCTGATTCATCTGACTTGGGTGATGGGAAATCTACAAATGATGTTGTGTGAGGTTCATACATAGTAATATCATTATCTTCATTCCAATTACCATTTTCAGGAAAAACTGGGGCTCTGCCCTTTCCTTTTTTCTTAGGACTTTCATTAGTTGAACTGACTTTAGTTGATTTTGGTGATGGAACCCCCATTTGACGAACTTTCCTGATTGGAGAACTATTCAACGATGCAGACTTATCAGGTTTGTCCATTCGCCTAGTTTTCCTTGGAGAATTTATAGCTGTGGTAACCTCAGTCTTTTTTAGTTCACGGTTCAATGAGCTGTGTCGTAACTGTGCACTTTTAGTTGTGCGGACATCTTTAGTTTTGCTTATTGTAGTGATTTTATCATTCTGGGTTGTTTTAAGATTTTTAAAAGTAGTGGAGGAGCTGACCAATTCTTTAGTAGTACTCCGTACAACAGTTTGAAAGATTGGTTTCTTTGTGCTATCTTTGTATTTAATTTTACCTTTGTGCGTGGTGTCAACTGGCTTCTCCATGCTTCTAACTTGTCTAGTTCTTACTGGTCTGGTTTTTATATTTTGAGACCTAGTAACACAAAACTGTTTGTTGTTTGTCGATATGCCATTATTGGCAGTTTCTTGCTTTACAATTTTGGTCCAAGCCAATGCAGGTTTTGGCAATGGCTTGATAGGTTTCTTTTTAAATTTTGTAATTTTTTGTGAACTTCTATTGCCCGAGAGCTGTCGCTCCCTTTTTCTACTTCTTAACCGCATCGCAAGTTCAGAAGAAAACTTAACCTGCAATCAAGTATTTACGATATTGTACATTAATTACTGCAGCTTGTTTTATTCAAGTAAAAACCGGAGTCAAAACAAGAAATTAGGTAACGAATTATTATCTAATAAGATATTAATTTGGCTCTGTGCAACTTACATGAACTCAATTGACAAATAGAAAGTTTTTATTTGTAGTAAATACACATAAGTCTTGCATTAATAACTAATCACACACAAAAATTGCCGGTAAGCACCACTCGCAGTATAAATATCTTTGTTTCATTGTAACATTTGCGAGTTTATTTCTGTAACACAATTTACTTGCAATTTTAACAACCCAAGCTACACTTCGCGCCTTTTTGATTTACAGCTTTTATCAACATTTCGAATTTAAAACACTATTAGAGCCTATTCAGGACACTCATTAGTCATTTTTGCAAATGTTTATCTTAATTTTTAACACTTTATTAATAAAACAAATGAAGAATTAGCATCGCAGAAATAAAAAAGCGGTACAGTAGTCCCATCGATTTTCCACCCATAATCTAAAAGATTTAATATGTTGTGTTAAAAGTTAAACGTAAAATATTTGAAGAAAACTTTTTGTTCACAGAAATTTATAAATAATTGCGTTTATTTGCAGATAATTCACAAATTTTAAGACAAAGCTAAACAAATGTCAAACAAAATGGCGGCGTTTCACTAATGTTTTATTTAATTTGAAATTCTTTCTTTAGATGGCGCTGCGCATGACAAAACATGGCGCTGCTGTTTTGTTGGCCGACTCCGCCACGCATGCGTTTGTAGAGAGCAAAAGTCGATAAATTATAATTTTATTTTTCTCTTACTTATTATTGTTTGTGTATTATTATTCTCTTTGTTATAAACTGATTTATGAGGGTACCTACTGTAAATCAGAAAAAATCCATAGGCCCTATATATAAGCCCTAGGGTTTCTTAATTTCTTATTTTTCTTGATTAATTTTTATTAATCAGTACAGAGGCGGTAGGCTTATAAAATATTATTAATAATTTACCTATGATAGGTAAAGAGTAGCTCAGTGGCGTAGTGGATAAGCGCCGCAGCTCGCGATGAGAAAGTTGCTTAATAATCGTTGTTGTTAAACAACTTTCTCAAGGGTCAGTTGTGGAATGGGTGACCAAAAAATTATTATCTCAAGCTATTCCGAACTTCGTAAGGCACGTTAAGCCGTTGGTCCCGGCTGCATTTCAGTGGTTAATGCCCTCTAATCTGCATTGAGCCAGCGGGGAGAGTAATTTCTTGAGTTAGGGTCACTGAGAAATTTTAATTTAGGGTAGTACCATATTAAAAAAAAAATAGTACGCTGACTCGAACCCTAAATGAGCGATAATAAACTAAACATGTAGGGCTGTTATAGTTACTTCAATTGTCAAAAATGTAAACACCGCAGTACCAAGTAAATAGCCGGGATCTATAATACAACGGTTATTAACTATTTCTTGAGGTGAAAAATTTAAAAATTTTCACTACCAACATCCTGTGATTTATTCAGCAATTAACCTCCTTATAATACTGTAGCCTATCTACAATCTTGGTATTCGCGGCATTGAACATTTTCATTCACGGAAGCTCCATATTTGCAGGATACCACATATAAAAATTAATAATATTCGTATAGGTAATATAAATATTCATAAATTATTCACGAGACAAAATTAAACATTCCAATAATAAAATCAAAACTACTTGTAATATTATCAATCGTGAAAAATAGACCAGATGACGATATATGTATTGGCACTTTTTTTCAAAATCGAGCTTATTAAAATTCTTGAACTGATTACCAATATTTTTGATGTTTTTTTCATAAATATACCGATCGAGACAACTTCTAATTAGAATTTTTCGCCGGAGGATTGCAAAAAGGATCTAAGAGTGTTTTGCGATCTGTCCAAAGCAATCCATTGTGTTGAGCTTAGACACTGTCGTCTAAATTAAATTACTACAACATTGAAGGTGCTGCTCAAAAACTGATGCTGTCTTATTTCAGTTCAACCCCTCAATCTGTTTGTATTTTTGAGATGTAAAAATACACACAAATTGAGGGGTTGAGATGTAAAAATATGTCCCCCAGTATGTTCCCCAAGGTTCTACACATCTTAGGTCCATTTCAATTTTTAATTTATATAAATGATTTACCATTTTTGTTAAAAACCTATGTAAGATTGTGTTGATTGCATATGACACTTCATTGATATTTAACATTGACAGAAATAAGTATTATTTTGGCATGTAAATGAATCATCGCCATCTTTCATTCATATCATTTTCATTTTTCACGTAAAAAATATTTTTTACACTTGACATTGGCAGAAATATGCGCAGATAAGACATTAATAAAAAAAAAGAAGAAGAAGACGATGTAAATAATGTTCTCTCACAAGTGTTGTCTTTGTTTACAGTTCACAATGCAAAAAAAACAAATGTATAAAATTCATTTTACCTAAGGAACCACTCGGCTACGACCTCCGTAGCCGAGTGGTTCGCACGCCGGTTTCAAGGTATCGCTATCTCTGTGGTCCCGGGTTCGATCCCCGGTCAATGTAGAAAATGAACTTTCCTATATTGTGTCGGGTCTGGGTGTTGTGTTACTTTCGTTGTCTCAGATACTCCATAATACGGGGGCTTTGACTACTCATCTTGGAATCTGAACAATTTATATGATATTGTGTAATATTTTTTTATTTTTTTTATTTATTAAACTCAACAACGAACATTTGGACTTAGTAAGTTCAACAAAATTTTTGTCCATAATACTAGATTAAAAAATGCAATCGAACCCGCACACATCTGTATTAGCTAGTAAACCATCTCGGCCGCATAATTACCATACGAAAAATACGATAAATTATCGATATAGATACAGCCCGGACGGTGTACTTTAGTTATTTTCACAGTACCATGTCTTATGGTTTTATATTGTGAGGAACGGCAGCCGATAATGAGTCTATATTTATTTTACAAAAAAGAGCAATAATAAAGAGCAATAAGCGCTATTTATCAATGAGGAAGTATTTAAAAAATTGAAATTAGTTCTTTAAACCAAAGTAGATGCCACTAGCGATTTTTGAATAATTGTCTAAATTTACGTGTAAAGGAACGATATTTGGTTGATACGTCAACATTAGTGATGAGATGAGCCAACTCATTGATTGCTCGTAACTTTCATCCGAATTCCGATTTGGAATGAAGAACAAAAAGCGGAGCGCTGAATTTAGCTTGTATTTATATGCGTTATTATGTATCCACAATACGAATGATATTACTATAAATATCAAAACTGTAACATAGTTATTATTATTGTATATTTAAATAATTATACCGGACAGGGTTGCTTCGCCGTGCGGGATTGCAAAACGAAAAGCTCCTATTAAAGCAAGTGAGGAAGACAAGGCAGCCTCTGAAGGCTTTTACAAACCATAAATTACAAAAGACGGTTTACCGTCAATGCGGTGAGTGCTGAATACTGTGTTTTCGTAGAAAGATATAAAGAAAACGAAAAATTAGGCAACATCAATCAAATGAGAAAGTATTTAAAAAATAAAGAAACTACAAAATTTTATGTCACTAGATGACAGCACAAATTGTAGGCTTTAAATGTCAATTCATGATTTTAGACCAAAGAACTGTCAGTGTTGTTATGGATCCGATGATTCGGATTATAATAATATCGAGTTGAAATTCAATTAATTCGAGTTACGCAAACCCAACTAGAGTAATACCAACGAATCTTTAAATAATCTTCTTTTTATTTGTATAAAGAAAATGGAAACTAACGTAATGGAAGTGAGCATAGAGAAGGTTTTTTAAAAGTTATGGAAATCGATAGAATTAATGCTGTGAAATTATTAAAAGTTTAAAAAACATTTAGCTACGGTATACAATAATATTACCGTGAAATTGTTTTTGTAAATAACATACTTATGCCATAGCAGGTCTAGGTATTTTTTATTATAATAATTAACAAAAGTACTGAAAACAATAACAAATAAAATAGTTCCCGAAATCAAACTAGATGTCAACACGGTGCGTTCTTAATTTCTCCATGACAAACCTTCCGGTTTTCTTTCATGTTTAAAAGTAAATTAGTTTTTAAAACTCAACAAACAAAATATATTCTATTTGTACTTTTTCGTATTTGTTTTGATATCTAAGTTAAAAGGAACGGACATGACTGTCTTTGGTCGGTTCATTTCCTGCAAAGTAGAAGTACTTTCGTTTTTGTTTAAATACTTTCTTATTTTGCTATCGTTACTGAACTTGCATGTCGACGGCGGACGTCAAGCCAGTTGTTATGTTAATTCGTACGGTTGGTATGTGCTTTTTTTAGTTCTTACAATAATTTTGTAAATAATTGTTTAACTTCCTTCTCAGCCTACTCTCGAAATCAGTTTTATTGAAATATATTATTTCTTAACTACCTAGAGTAGTCACGCTGTCTTATAAATCTCTGCGGTGGTGTCATGTGCATCGGCTCATTACGTTCCCTCAAATATAGTTGAGCGAAGCGATGGCTGGCTCATGCTTCAAGTTTGTCAACGGGTGCTGCCAGAGGGGGTGAGTCTGCACTGGACTACTGATTTGTCCATTTTCTTTTATTATGAATATTGTATATTGATTTGTCAACAAGTATGTATGATTTGGCAGCCGACCTATTAATCAGTAATCAAAGAATATATGTCTTGTAATTCCCGATATTGTAATGGTAATAGACTTCATAATCTAATTGTCACATTAAAATAAGACTTCTGTATGTGAAATAAAACAGAGAGAAAAATGCAGCCCTTGCTGAGTTTCTTTCTCGTTTTCCTCAGTACAACGTCACCCCCTGAAGTTTTGCGAACCATTGGCATAGTTTCCGACTTTCACTAGTACTATGTAACAGCCTAGACATTTATATTAATATCATGCGACGTGTGGATGCATAATGACTCACAAATACAAGCTCTGCTTTTTGTTCTTCATTCCAAACATGAATTCGGATTATAGTTACGAGTAACCAATAAGTTGGCTCATCACTAATGTTGACGTATAAACCAAACATCGTTCCTTTACACGTAACATAATAAATAACTTAAACTTACGATTCAAATAAATTAAAATTAATTTGAAAGTTAGATATTAGAAGAAACACGAAACGATGTTATGTTTATTGATTTTCGATACTCAATTTGCTTTTATTACGTCAGAAACAAAATTTGAATGAATATCATAAACAATATCCAAACGTCACGAGTGATCTGTAGTATGATTTAAAGAACTAATTTTTATTTTCTAAATGCTTCCTCATTCTGACGACCAATCTATTTAAAAACGATATAAAGGGCATCATCAATATAAAAAGGATCAACCCGACCAAAGTTAGTGTGACCTTTTCTCAAGCGAACCACGCCAGTAACTTCCGAAAAAATGATGAGTTTTTATCAAAGCAAAAATTCAAAGCCTCAGCAGTAGAAACGACTATGCTTCGTACCCACCAGCATTACATCGTTTGGTTCTTGCCAGCTAGAAGAATTATCAAAAGACTACAAATACCTTAAACCGTTATTCAAGTTTGGTGTCAACACCGTCAAAAACATTTGAGCGAGAAGAAAGAACAATGAACCAATTTATAAAAAAAAACTAACTGTCAAAAACTATGTAAAGCTTA